AAAAAAATACACAGAAAAACAAATCTTTAGCCCAGCCTTACTGTCTTTCTCCCATTTCTCCAGTAAGACTTTTTCAGATTTATTCTTGTGGAAACCCATACTGTGGTTGTTCTAATATTATTTGCCCCTGACAATTACTGGTTTTAAATTCTAATTTGTGAGTCACTTTGGATAAAAGTGTCTGGTGGATGATTAAAAATGTTAATTTAATCAGATGGGTTTTGTGTTTGTGGTGGTTCTAGCACAGAAATTCCTCAGTGCGTGTCCTTGCCAAATCATTTCGGTTGTGGTTTTCATCATGGCCGTTACTAGGAAAACATCGGTTCTTCCAATAGAAATATACATTTGTACCATTGCTTTCTCATGACACTTTCCCTGGCAATTTCTCTCTTCTCATGTCCATTCAACATGTGGTTGAATATAAAATCCTCAAAGAAAGCTTTATGGACAAAGGTTTATGGGTCAGTGCTTTTAGACCTGATGTTAAGTGAGTGTCATTCTGTCAAAGCTACTTTTCATTTTTGTTTGTTAATGATACGTAACATCAAGGAAAAAAAGATGGTGGTTATGAGAGGAATATCGACAAACAGGGATTAAAACAACTACTTCATCCCTCCCCAAAACACTGTAAAAAAACAAACCTGGTGTTGAAAGATCAGCAAAGAGCTTTTGATATACCAGCATAACTCTTCAGGATCAAGAGTGAACTTCAAACAATGTATCAAATTAGGCTAAAAAAAGCAAAGGAGGAAATACTTGAGGAAGTAAGATTATCTTTCACTGTTGTTCAGTCTTGTATTGGTCTTTATGTAGATCAGTTGAAATCTGACTGTTTTGGCCACTGACAGATCAATGCTTTCTGCTTGATGTAATAGTACAAATCTGTCTCACAATGCACACTGATAGCGCTCTCCAAGTTATATACTCGTCCCATCAAGGTCAGACTGCCTTAAAAGGCCTGAGACGGCAAGCGTGCAGCTGTTACATTCAACAGCTTGAAATATTACCTCTTTTTTCCATCTTTCTCTCCTTTCATTGTCTTGGGAGCTTCAAATATATTTCATTTTTTAGATTCCTCTGTGTTAGGCGTCCATATTGTATGGTATGTTTGCAATTAGGGGGGCGACACTGTGGCGCAGATGATAGTAGGGTCGGGCAATGTCAACCAATTTGGCATTGTATAATGTCTAATGTGAAACATCGCAATAGACGATGGCATTGCCGTCATAGGTGGGGGTGAATTATTTATGAATAATTAATTAATTCATCGGAATTAATTATTTGTAGCCTGCCATTTCAACTACCTGACTTGCATGTCCTTTGTTTTACCTATAAGTAATCAAATCATAAATAATTAAAAATAAGTTACACACAAATTGCCACCTGTCAATCATTTTTTCTCTGGCACGAAAAGGCAGAGTGATCTCTGTTGTTATAATGGCGTCAACAAACTTGGTTGGTAAAAAAGGTGCACAACCAACAGGAACCAACCAATAATATCTGAGGTTTTCGTTAAAATTACTAAGTACAACTGAAGCGTGTGGACGGAGAGCTGTTCAGAAATGCTAGGTAAAACACAGTGTGGACGTGGATCGTTATCATTCTAAAATGCTGTTTTAAAACTAAGACAAATGAGTTTTCACCAGGACTGAGTGTGTGTTTTTCACGAGTGGCTTGCTACTGCAACGGGGGCGGAGGATCGCGATGCCGGCTCAGCATCATGATGTCTATCAACAATGGACGATGACATCGTCTACCAACCCAACCCTAGTTGCGCTGTCACCTCACAGAAAGAAGGTCGCTGGTTTGAGTCCCAGCTGGGTCAGTTGACATTTCTATGTGGAGTTTGCATGTTCTCCCTCTGTTCATATGAGTTTCCTCCTGGTGCTCCGGTTTCCCCCTCAATCTAAAAATATGTTGTAGGTGAATTAGGTAAGCTAAAATTGTCCCTAATGTATGTGTGTATGTCCTGGACCTTCAGATTGGTGGTTAAACTTTGGGCTAACAACTCACCTCATAATAACTAGATGGTAAGAAACACCAATATGGTGCAGCTAAATATCAACTTCGATATAAATGGCCCTGGGAGTATGTAAGAAAGACTTTTGTGAAAAATGACTCAAGATTACACCACAAAATATATCTAAATGTTTTATTTGGAATAAATACCTTGAAGCATGATGAGAAAAAAAATATGTATAACAAGACATAATAGGTATTTACATGAATTGTTTGTGCACAGCCAGATGGTTGTATACATGGTATACAAGCCCATGCAGGACATTGAAATCTTTTGCCATACAAAAAAATGCAAAAGAAAAATATGCTTTAAAGAAATAAAGAAACCATCTTTTAGATGGACGATATGGTCACTCTGAAGAACCTTGATCACAAACATGTTTAGCGTATTACAGGGATTTTCACTTACTGTGTACAAAGAACGACTAGCCACTGAACACAGGGCACCACACTGTACAACCTTGTGCCACCAGCCCCCAGTTCTTGAAATTCATTATAATAGTAATAATAACTTAGTTAAAATGGCAACTGTACCAGACAGGGCATGATTATAGCAGCTGCACCTCTGGCTCAGTGGTAGGTAGAGGAGAGGAGATAAACAGCATTACAACAAACACCAAAAAAAAAGAGCATTCTGGTTCAAAGCTGGACATGGAGGGAATGCGTTTGGCAGTACAGAACACGGCTGACAGCAGGAAACATGCTGGCCCCCCAAAAAAGAGATCTGCTGAGCTAAATAACAGGGACTTAAAGGAGATGAATGGACATGCAAGTAGAGTTGGCTAACATGCTAGCACACATGTACTGATAAAACACAGGCTTTGTGTACATAAGGCTGTTTTCATTTTAGGGGGGCTAATACAGCGCCGAAGACTTAAACATTTCCATGATCTGTACTTTGTCAAAATGGCCCCTCGAAAGTTACTGCACGTCATTTTGCAGCAGTAAAGGTGGATCACTGAATTGCACGAAAGGCCATGTGGAAAGTAGTTAGAAGACTTCCAGCTACATTACTACACAGATGACTTCATTTATTTGCATGACGTAATGCACAGGGATAACCGGCTTCCTCGCTCTATTTGTGAAAAAAAGCTAATATTTGGGCCTGTTTGTTGACATGGATAATGTGCTGCTGGAAATTTAGCCTGTGCTTCCTCGTAGTCGTTAAATAATGTGAAAAACTAGCAAACCAGCAAAAAAAAAAAAAAAAAAACCATAGCAAATATTAACCACTTTCACAAATGTTGATCATTTGTGGTTCATAACTAACCACTTGTCAGTTAAAAGTCTCTAGTTTGAAGAGGAGTGGTTATCAAATGGTAGATTGCAGCCAGTTTGATGCAGTATGAGGGCATTTCTGAGCTAGGTTATTATTTACCCTGTGGAATGTTTTGTTCACCCAGATGGACTATATCAGTGTTTGGTTTGGCCTCCACTGCACACATTCATTAATGGTGATTTCAAACATCAATTGCTCACACAAATAATGATGTTTACACTGATTTCTGCAGGGGAAACAAAGCTGTTTGGTTAAAACCAATGGATTTTGTGCAGTTTAAGCTTGATAATCACACTGCTTTTGACATTGCATGGCCATGCCCAATTCCATCTCATTTAAGTATTTAAGTGCGATTCTATTTTATTCATTTTCATGTTTTATACTTGATTGACTTATTGACAGCATCTAAAATGTATGCATTTTACAAATAAACAACTTATAGGCAAATAAATATAAGCTTTTTACAGCTTTTGTAGGAAAAAAACATTCACAGTTTTTCTAGATTTTGCAAGTTGTCTTTAATTAAAACTATTTTTGATTAATTATGAAAATTTCTATATTCTTTAAAAGATAAGATAAGAGAGAAACAAGTTTAACAACTCTACCAATGCTTGAATTTTCAGAACAGTTAAGATATTTGTTGGAATAATGTTGATTTTTAATGACACCAAATAAAACATTTGTTATTCTGGCCAATTTCAATTTTTCTTGAATTGAAATTTGAAAGAAATGTTTTCAGACTGTTATCAGAACAAAACAAAAATTACCCTTTAACTCTAACCTATACAGTAGCCCATACCTACTCCGTAAAACCCAATAAGTTAGGGTAACTCAAACTATTTGAGGAAACTGATTGCAACATACCATTTAAGTTCAAAAACTAATCCTGAGTACTGTGACCTTAATCTGTTTGAGTAAATGAAGCCATTTGAGCACAGTAAAACCCAATAAATGAAGAGAACTCAAACCAACTGAGTACTGTAAAACCCAATAGGTTAAAGCACTTTAAACCATATGAGGAAACCGATTACTACAAACCATTTGAGTTAAAAAACTAATCTATATAAGTACTGTGAACTTACTCCATTTAAGTAATGAGATATTTAATTAACTCATTACCTTCAACACTAGTTTCAAACAAATAGAATTAACTTTCAGTAATTTTTGAGTTAACTACACTCATTTTATGATAAAGTTGACTGTTGGGTTTTACGATGTTTTAATTTTTTTGTTGGTCTCTTTTAATCCATAGCTGTATTGTTTAGAGATCATATCATATTTATAGAACACTATAATCAGAGCATTCTTAATTTGTTCTGCTTTAGATGCTGTCAATACTTCACATACACAAACATAAAACCATGTATATGTAAAAATGTCATGTAAATATAAATGACACCTTGCAAAAATACCATAAATTATTAGTCTCATCTGGGTGATTGACAGTTGATAGATTATTTAATAATTTGCTTATAATCAGAGGTAGAGTACTATTTGCATTTGTATTCAAGCCTGTTTATCTCATGACCTCAGTCTTCAGTTTCATTTTCTTTTTTGTCATTTTTTTCCACAGCTGTTATTTTTTTCCCATTGTCAAGCAGATGAGGACATTTAAACTATAGCCTTTGTTCTTTTCTCTGTTGAATATGTAATTTGACAAAATAGAAGGTCCATGTAGAGAAATAATAAAGAGAGGTACAGATTATTTACAAGGTGCTAATGAACAGAAGTCCAGCTCCTGTGGCTTCTTCTTGTCCACACACTTCTCCCTGGGAAGCAACTTCCCCACAGTTGTAATGCAGCGAAGCAGTCGCCGTTTGAAGCCCTTCCCACAGGTCTTGGAGCAGGGGGACCAGTCGCCCACATCCCACATAGGACAAGGGTCTCCGCATGCCTGAATAGCACTCGGTTTTTGGCTAGGCTCGCAGTCCACCCCAGGCCCACCATCTCCCCCAAGACATTGCACCATTCTCCTCTGGAGTCCATTACCGCAAGTAACCGAACAGACATCCCACCCTGCTGCCACCCACTTCCCTGGTTTTGATGCGATGTCTTTAACATATGCAGGTGCGATTTTGTCCTTGAGAATATCTGCTTCTTTTCCACCTTTATTGACTCCACCTTCTTCCCTAAGAATGCTGTTTTCTGCACGTGCTTTTTCTTCTTTCTTTTGTGCCTTGTTATCTTTGCTCTCCCGTGGCAAGTAGAAAGAATAGCGGATACGTGGTGGTGTCATCTGGCCCACAGAAAGCACTTCAATTATCAGAGCTTCACCCAGAGGCTTCACAGCCTGTAGAGTTTCTGAAGACCCAACCGTTCCACTATAGCGCAGCAGACTCCCCTTCACCAGGATATCCTTCTCCATGGCTGAAACTACATAGTTTCCATTCAGCAAGTATTTGCCCTGGTTGTTTTTGACAGCAAGATAGTTGTCATCGCTTGTGATGCCCTTGTAGCCACGCTGCCTAATGTCGATGTTGGAGGATCCCATGGGAAGCATGACCACAAAATTGTAACCATGCCTGGGAAGAGAAAAGTCAGGAAAATTATCAGAATGGTTTTGGGATTTATTGGAATGTCATCTCTACCACAGAACAAATATCGAGAATGAGAATTTGCGGTATTAAAATGGCAGCAAGCCATTTCTGAGAAATACAGTTGAAAACTGACGTCAATACCCACATAAACAAGCAGCCCATTTTTTAAATTTTCTTTATTTCATGATTAGTTGAAATTCTTGAGTCTGATTGGCTGGAAGGTTTGCAATAAAATTATCTATTCAATGGTCTGTTGAAAATCTTTATTCTGATTGGCTGGAGGGTGTGCACTAAAAAAGTTTATCACTCAGGGAGTTCCAGTCAGTTTTGATCACAGTTCGAAAATAAATGTGCTTCCCCCAAACATCAGTAGTAACCATAGCAACTCAGTGACAGTTGCCAGAGCATTAATTTCTCTTGTGCAAATACACGTTTAAGGGCTGCTAAACACTGCCTACTTTCCACTGTTGATCTCATTCATAAACCAAATGGATGGAAAGAGAGATTTAAACTTTGTCATTCATTATCTTAGGCTTTGAATTGGAGGTGAAAAAATTTAAAAAGTAGAATGTTCTCTCACCAGGGTAGGGTTGCACCAGCTGTTCGTAAGCTTGAAGCCCACACAAGAGGCTGAGTACTTACTAGCTAGTTTGTAACTAAATTTGTTCTTACTTCGGTTGACCACATGTTCTTAAGGCAAACCATACTTAGTAGGTCGTAAGCTCTCCGTAAAGTCATCTGCAGTCACATTCATTCATTCATTCATTCATTCATTCATTCATTCATTCATTCATTCATTCAATTATTCATTCATTCTCTTTTCGGCTTAGTCCCCTTATTAATCTGGGGTCGCCACAGCTTATTCAGCACATGTTTTACGCAGAGGATGCACTTCCAGCAGCAACCCATCACTGGGAAACACATACACCAGTCATATTTAAGTGAAGTTTATTTATAAAAAAAATTCGAGAGGATCACATGCTTATGATTAATCACGGCTGGTCCCGTATTAGCCAATTCATGATTCACCAATCAGATGATTTTACCATAAATAACCAAAGCTTCATATTACAGTCATCTTCAGTTTGAAAAATCCCCCCTTCCACCCTTACTCATCCTCGTTTCCTTGATGGGTGGCACGGTGGCCCAGTGGTTAGCACTGTTGCCTCACACCAAGAACATCACTTTTTCTAGTCCCTGCCAGGCCAGCCGACATTTCTGTGCAGAGTTTACATGTTTTCCCTTTGCTCGCTTGGGTTTCCCCAGAATTCCCCAGTTTCCTCCCAAGTTCCAAGTTAATTGACTAATCCAAATCGTGCTCCTAGTAAGTAGTTATCACTTGTTACAAACTGTCTGGCTCTAGACAGTCTGCAACATAATCATGCCACCAATCGAACAATTGAAAAAAAGGAAAAGATTTATAAAAGTAATTTAAACAAACCACAAATGCAAAATAAATAATGTAAACAAACAAAAAATCTGGTGCTGGAGGAGACCGATCAGGCAGCCCAATTCAAGCCAACAACGCAAGCTTTTCCCGAGGGAACTAATGAGGAATCCTTAAATCATGCACTCATCACCGTCAACGCAGGACACCTGTAACGCACTCCAACCTGCGCACATAAGGGAACAGATGACCTCAAGACAATAGCGCCATCTAGTGGACATCCTAGCACCAGCAAAATAAAAAACAAACCCATAGCAATCCCTAATTGATCATTAGCTACAAACAGCAGGGGAGCTCTCGAGATCTTCCTGATCTCAAACTTCCCTCTCACCCTTCAAACGAGAGGGATCCCCAGGCTCAATGATCTTATGAGGTCAGGGCTCTCTCCCGGGACAGCATGTCAAACACACTATATAACCAATCATCAGCTAAGTGTGAACTCTAGAAACTAAGTTCAGTGGTGCAACAAAAAAATTTTGTAGGGTGTAAGTTGAAACTTAGTGTACTTTTACTTCATTGCTAGGCTACATTTTAAGTTACGCACTTCTGGTGCAACCAGCCCCAGTTCCGATATGTTTAAAATTTACGGTACATTTGCCATCTCTTGTAAATTATGACTCCTCTCCAGACCTATCCTGCTGACTTAAAAAATGTTTGCATGACTTAGCTTCACTCACATAGGCTTGGTGAAAAGGCCTGAAACCTTCTTGCAGTTCTTGTTATCTCCTCCACAGACACCGCACTTGTCAGACTTTTTGTTGGATCCCAGTTTTCCATCACAGCCTGCCTTGATGCATTTACCTTGGACGCAGACTGATGAGGAGTCAGGAGAACAAGGTGTACCGTCAACAACCTATCAAAAGCAGAGAAAAACTATTAAAATCCAAACATTCATGTGGATCTGCATAATTGAAACTGTATTTCATTTTTTTTTCCAGTCTATTTCTTTTTTCAAAACAATGAGACATTCACTGATGACTTCAATTACACAATCAACTGAAATTGTAGACTATATCGAGAATAAATATACGTTTACAATTTTGCAACACTGGCTGATTTTAATTGCTGCAATATGTGTGGGACCTAGTTGTGAATTGGAAGAAATGAGTCAAAGTCGTTTCTGTCTCTACTCTGTTGACAGTTTGTTTTGGATTAGTTACATTTTCAAATTGGCAATGGGGCATACTGAATCAATGTAGAGTCTAGTCTTGTGCCTTCAGTGAAGCAATGCTTGTTTTGAAACAATTAAAGCTGTTTCTTAGAACTTTTAGAGCTGTCTTTTAGAGTTCAAGTTCTGAATAGTTTCTTCAATGTCAAATGCAGGTTACAACAGCGTGTCAGTCTTACAAACACACCTCTAGCCATGCACCAGCTATGACGTAACTGTTGCGTCTGCACAGTTTCACTCCACACAACGGTATCTCATAAAGATAGGCCCTTTCACCTTCCTTATCTTTCCTCTCGCTTTCATCAGTTCTCCCTGAACACTCGACTGAGTCTGCAGTGATGTCTGACGTAAGTGTAAAGCAGCCATGAAACAGCAGGTATACTAACCACATACGTCTTCTCTTACATGGCTATGGTAATATATGGTTTTAATTTAATGACTCTTTTTCGCTTTCAATAAATTCTTCGATGAATATCTAATAACTCCAAACTGTTCTGATATTGGACGCATATGCTTTCATGCACCACAGGATTGCGAATGAGCTTTATTTATAGTGTCTTAGGTTCAGCTTGTATCATAATCTCACAAACCCACTGACATGTTATATAGCCCATAGTTACATGCTATATAACCCATTAAATGTTTTAGCATCCCCCATAATGCACTCAAATATACTCTTCAGTGAGAGAATCTCTTATTTATGAGTCAAAAAATTGCTCTTTTACATACAGTTGTAGTTTTTTTTAACAATATATTTTACAATATAACTGTTTATTTAGGGCTGTGCAATTAATCAAAATTCTGTTTCGATTTCGATTTTGGCTTCTAACGATTATGAAAAAACTTTAATCGAGATAAAAGATTATTGCATCATATACCGCCCCTTTCCAGTAGTACACATTTGTTGCTTTGCAAAGCTTAGTTGTACGTGAAAATTCCGATAAGGATGTACTGCACTGTAATGTTTGCAGCACGGGATGTGCACCATTGCTTGCTGTTGTGTGCGTATGCGCTGAGCCTCAGAGACGAGCAGAGCACACACATCTAAAGTCATCTTAATGTAATCGTGCTTTAATGGTCAAATACATGCAAATTTAGGTCAAAATGCGGCGTTTAGCGATTAGTCATAATAACCCTAATTTGTGTAAGAAACATACGAGTTGAAACCATAAATCAGAACCGTACTGCTCTTAAAGTGACGGCGTGCAATATTCCTGCTGCCGACTGTTTTTATCATTAATCAAACTACAAAAGGAGAAAGTCACTCACTGCTCTTGACTGAAGGACTTTTGTTGCTATAATTAAAGTGTTTTTCTTACAGTGAAGATGCTTAAAGCACAGTTTGTTTCATATTTTTAGTCTATTGTATTCTTTTTCCTTTCCTTATTTACAGGGAGGAAAATAACTATAAATATATACAGTTGAAGTCAGAATTATTAGCCCTCCTGAATTATTAGCAGCCCTTTATATTTTTCCCCCAATTACTGCTAAACGGAAAGAAGATTTTTTTTCAACCTATTTCTAAACATATAGTTTCTTCTGCAAACAATCAAAAATATAATGCTTAAGGGGGCTAATAATATTGATCTTAAAATTGTTTTAAAAATATTTAAATCTGCTTTTATTCTAGCCAAAATAAAACAAATAAGACTTTCTCCAGAAGAAAAAAATATTAGAGGAAATACTGTGAAAAATTCCTTGATCTGTTAAACATCATTTGTGAAATATTTATAATAAAAAAAAATTCACAGGAGGGCTAAAAGTTTTGACTTCAACTGTAAATCGTTTTGAATAATCATGATTACAATTTTGACCAAATATGATTATGATTTGTCCTGTAATCAAGCAGCTCTATGTTTAATTTATTTTAAAAAATACATATTTTATTGCTTACCTTGGGTGCAAGAACGTAGAAATAGCCCGTTCCGTTTGCCCTGCAGATCAACTTGCACATATCTTTGGCCGAAACACCAGAATATTTGGGCACCCACACCACAGAAGAGGTAAGCCGGTTAGTGTTCAGACTGAACCCATTGTAAGCCTCACACTGCTCCTCACGATAGCTCTTGCCTAAAAAAAAATAGGCCAAATGTAAGTAAGCACATTCTTCAAATCTTTTTTTTATCAGTATGCATTTATTTCAATTTAATATGCAATCTTGAAATAATACAAGTATCTATTTTTAGAAAGATTGTAAACCTGTGTCAGGGCATGGTGAAAGGTTGCAAGAGCGGTATTTGACCCTCACTCCCTGGCAGTATTTCCCTCCATTGACTGGCACAGGATTGTCACACTCTCTCTTCGACAGCTGAACTCCTCCTCCACAAGTTCTGGAGCAGCTACCAAATGGCCCCCATTTACCCCATTTGCCATCCACCTATGGGACATGAACAGGAAGGAAGGGTTGTCACAATTCACTTAACCTTTGAACAGAGAGCATCCCTTGACAGAAGACCCTATTTAACTCTGAAGCCCAAAAGACTGAGATAACAGCAGCACCCACACATTCACAGGTCACAGAAAAGATCTAAAAGCAACAGGCCAAATAAACCAAGTTACAGGTCAAGCGGAATACATTTAACAGGCTGACAGTGATATGACAAGTCAGTGATGTCAGCAGGGTTGTCATTAGACCCCATTTACTGGGGCACGTGCTTTGAATAATGCTTTGAGATACGATTTACTTTATATGCAAGTGTATTTATTAAGTGTGGTAATCCCTGAAGAAAGACAATATTCTCTATGTGCAACCGAGCCAACACTGATGAAAGCAATGTATTTTAATCAAAAAGCAAACTGACGTAGGCACGCAGAAAACCATGTGTCCCGGTTGTGAATGTGCGCCAAAACTGCCTTATGAATTGTGAAACCAGTGAGTTTTGCAAGTCGACAAAACTAAAGTTTATATAATATGATGATGATCTTACTCAATGAGTCATGGAGGTAAGACTTAATAAACCTAATTCTCTGCCATGTGTCAAGTCTAAGACAACAGATAATTCGGGAACACTTTACAATAAGGTTGTTTTAGTTAATGTTAGGTAATGCATTTACTGTTTGTTTATGCATTAACATAAACAAACAATAAACAAAAATATTTCAGTATTTGTTCATGTTAGTAAACCTTAGTTAATACAAATTAAGTTAAGTTCAAATTAGCTTATGGTGCATTAACTTAAAGGTTAACAAGCACGATTTGGATTTTATTAATTCATTAGTATTTGTTGAACTATGATTCATAAATTATGCATAAGTATTGTTGATTATTAGTTCATGTCAGCAATTAAATTAACATTAAACAATGAATCCTTATTTTTATATATTTTTGTATTCTATACAATTTTATTCTAATGAAATTAATATTCAAGATCTTTAAATGATCTTAGCATATCACTCCAGTTGTGTCTTTAAAGTTACAGTTAGTTATGTTAGTTACATTTAGGGTTCATTTCTATAATTTATTTAAAATAATAATTGTATAATGTAAAATATTATATAATATAATATATAATAAAATATAATAGATATAAAAATGTTTATATTATTTATTAAAAACCATAATAATTAAAACACTTCATTCAATAAAAATAGTAAGAAATTGTAAATCTGAAACTCTGGGAGTGAGATGACCACAACAGCCCTACAGTATATAAAGAATGGGAATCTACATCATGGCGAGTTGCATTCTGGTGTATTGCATAAACGCTCTAGAGAGCACAATATAAACCAATGCAAATCAAAAATACTGACTCTTTTATTCATTCATTCATTTTCTTTTTGGCTTATTCTTTTTATTAATCTGGGGTCACCACCGCGGAATGAACCACCAACTTATCCAGCATATGTTTTACGTAGCGGATGCCCTTCCAGCTGCAACTTATCACTGGGTTTTACGAACAATTTGGCTTATCCAATTCACCTGTACCATATGTCCTTGCACTATGGGGGAAACCAGAGCATCCGGAGGAAACTCACTGAAACACGGGGAGAACCTGCAAACTCCACACAGAAATGCCAGCTAACCCAGCTGGGGCTCGAACCAGCGACCTTCTTGCTCTAAGGCGAACGTGTTACCCACTGTGCCACTGTGACTCTTCTTTTTGAAACAGCTTACCAACAAAATGGACTAATTCATAAATATCTTTGATTAAAAAACATTCTTTGTCTGTTTGTCTGAGAGGCTAAAAATATGTATTTCATAATATTCGGTGTTCAGCGCTAAAGTGCAACTAGAGAATCTGAGCTCAGGTACAGAGGGAGCAGATCAAATAAATGAACGTGATTCAATTTGAAGATTCATTCAAACTAAACCTCTCCTTGCGTGAGTGTCAACTCTGCTATGATTGGTCAGAAGGTATCAGACAAGGAAGAAGTTCATTTAGCAGCTTCAGTGATGACTGCGTGATTACTTGCTTTTAGAAAGTGTCAATCCATGCTAGAATACATTTTTGGTCTCTACAATAAAGGCTTTTTCTTGACGTCATGCTTACAACGACGAATTTGAGGTTGGGTAAAAGTAGAGAGTGTTCACAGACAGCCAATCAAGAGGAAAGGCTGTTAATGTGCAAATCTGTTGATTGGTTGTGGAAAAATGGAACTCATGTCAATATTTCTAAAAATTTTTAAAGAGATAATAACTTTATTATGCACTTTGATCTTTAAAATTGTGCTGACCTTTCACCTTTACAAACATATACATTACATACTGCATGAAAGATGATATTTGAGAAAGCTTAATGGGGCAATTTAAGTTGTGGGCTAAGAAAAACATGCCTCAAACACATTAAACAACATGCGTCTGACAGAACAGAAAGCTGAGTATGGTTATGATTTAGTTTAAAGCGCATAACATAATGCATGTCTCATGTTTAAAACCTTAAACAGAGAAATTCTCCACATTCCAAGGTTAAAACAACACTATATTTGTTCAGTACACAAGCACTGAACCGAAAGACCTATACCAAACATTTTATATACAAATACATGTACTATGCATACCCACATAATCAGAGGATCAGAGACATGTGAAGTTACCTTAGTTTTGAGGAGCTCCTGTTTGTCTATGCATGTTCCACGCATACAGAGCTGTCCGTCCCCACAGCTGGTTCCATCTGCCCATGGAAAGTGTCGAGTCTGGCACACTAGTTGTCCGCGGGTTTTCCCTGTACACCATAAGCGCTGACATGGTGCCTGCATGAATGGGCATGGCTTTGATCCAGCACCGAAGGCAAGTTCACATTGCCGCTCTAAACCATACGATGCACCAGGAAGCACGTCTGGAAGAGCCAGTGGTTTCTCTGGTTGATCCAGCAGACAATCACCTGTGAAAATGAAAAAGTTATAAACAAAAAGTTACTCTTATACCGCTGTTTTCACAGCAATTTTAAGACTTTTTGGTACCCATATAACCTGTTCCCATAACTGTTTTATTCAAATATACAGTAAGTATGGTTTCTTGCTGCAAGAAACTAAAGTTTGACAAGATGACTGGAATGTGGGCATGGTATATTTGCTTTAGATTTTTGTTTATCAGAAATGTAAGATTGTATATATACATATGTCTTAGTCTACAGAGGGCAAATACCAGTCCTGAGAGGAGTTCTGAATCCCCCAGTGACCCCACTGTTAACCTTCACAGAAACACTCCAGTCAAACAGTTACGTCAGCTGCCACGCTGTTTTAACATAAATTCAGATCACAGAATTGTTGGAAGCTGCAATGTGAGCTGACCTTGAGATGTCTATTTCTTTGAAAGCTGCTTTTCAGAAAGCAACAACACTCATCCATCACTCTGTATATCCCTAAGCACACTGCTCTCGAAAAAAAAACGTTTGAAAGAATTTAGAAAATGTTTTTTATGCCTACCAAGGCTGCATTTATTTGATAATAAATACAGTAAAAAACTGTAATGTTATAATTTTTGTCATAATTATTTCATGGCTAGAATGATTAAAAGAACAGCATTTATTTTACTTTAATGTAGTATATATTTATATATACACATCTGTATTCTATTATATATGATTTGGTTTCTGAAGTGCAATGAATTTCATTGTGATAGATTAATCATGTGAGAAAATTCACATTTTCTTCTCTTTCACGTGGAATTACAAAACATATTTTATAATAATGAAACAATTAAAATAGAATTGCATTTAGATGGATCTAATTCAAGTTCAATGGGCCTTTTGACCTACTGTAAAAATATCAATCCATTCTCAGATCTCTGAAATGTAACGGCCAAAGTTTAGGTATACAAGAAATGCACAGTATGGTGGAGTGTCAAAATTAATTGTTTCTTCGGTGTACGACAATGCAGACCTGGACAATTCGGTATCAGATCAGTAATAGAACTTAACTGGTTATTATGTGCTGATCTCAATTATCTCATACGTATTATGTCACAGTACAATACTATGACAAGGAAGGCGAGTAATTAAAATGCAGAAACTCTGCACAAGTCACTGAGTCTGTTTGCTGGAGATACACTGACACAGAAGTTACAGCAGAAGCCCCTATTTCACTGCTATGGAGAAAATTTAAGTAAACTCCATTTCTTTCTCTCTCTCTCTCTCACTGTGGACCGTTTGACCTGCTGGCATGGCGTTTCCTCTTCTCTTGGCTGATATGGCGATTTCTGTGGATTCAGACACGAGTTTGTCTGCAGAGCGAGTTTTCTCCACCAAGTTTAATGTGGATCAGCTGTAACCGCCTCGTCCGTTTGTCAGTGTCACTTATCTTTGAACAACTGCCAGCACGTTAGAGCCAATCGCAGCCCTTTCTGTTAAGCAATCTGTTTTGTTGACCAATCATAGGCATTTAACAACTTGCTTAAGAAGAAAGCAGAATAATATTTACATTTGTTTCTTTGCTATAAATGCTCATGTTGTTCTGTGCCTGAGTTTTGTTTGATGCAGAGTGTTTTCTTTGAGCTGGTAAAATTTAAGGTACAGTTCATATATATGGTTGCTTGTAAGTAAGAACAGGATTGTATTACAAATACATATAAAATGTATTTTAAAATGATATGTTTTAATACAAGAATTCTTGTGCTGTGTAAAATATAAAATTGTGTATAGAAAGCATCTTCAAATGCACCATGATGCACCGAGATATCAAATTGAACCAAATCGATGGCATGATGATTGTAACCGAACTGAACCGTGAGACCAGTGTAGGTTCACATCTCTACTGTATGGCTTTCTTTGACTTACCATGTCCACTGTCCAGGTAGTCTGTGATAATGGCAGCACTGCATGGGGACCATGGACTGGTGCGATTGATTCGGATTAGAGTAGGGGACATCATGTGATTGTCCTGCAGCTTTCCAAAAACCTCCTCACATGCCTTAACATTATCATGCGGCATATTGAAGACATGTCCTGTAGCAGAGAGAAACGACAGAAAAGAAGTCAGAAATGACAAGAGACAAACAAAATATGTCAGCACTCCATGCTGATGTGAAGGCACGATCTCTTGGAATTATTCAAATGTAGGTTTAGATTTTTACTTTAGAATTATTCCAATGCAATTTTCCTGTCAGCAAATGCACCACAGCTATGCTTAGTCACTTTTACAATACCTCCAACAACTCCCCACATTTCCTCCCTGCCCTTGGAGGAAACGTTTGCAAAACCGCCTATGAGGCTTCCTACGGGGAAACAAACCACTTCGATAGAGCTTATCTTTCCTCAGCTGCTCCACCGGGCTGATCTGAACAGAGTGAACATCACCTCAGGAACATTGTTGTGGAGACTCTCCAAATGATTTTGGATGCTGACATGACCGGTTTTATCCCCACATATTTAGTCTGGTTGGCAAGTGTTCAGTTATGAGACTTTAGTACCTACATATCTAATAAATGACAATTCAATAGGTTTGCTACTGGAGAATCATGTCTGTGTTGGGAGAGATAATCTGAATGGGGTTGTACACTGGCACTTTCAGAATTATATAACTTCTAAAACCATAGCAGTTATTCTGACCAAGTCGTCATATTGTCACGTCATACTGTGTTTACATTGAAAACTTTTATTGAGATATTATATTATATTCCCTGAAGTCATTAGCCTAAAAAGAGGATCTTTTTGTTAATTCGGCTTATGAATAAGTTGTTTTGAAAACATGTTGTTTTACTATGGGAAAGTTATGTTTTTGTTAGCAATAATAATTAGCTTGGCAGCAAAGCCACTTATATTCAACGGCATGGGAATAAGTAACAGACACTCAGAAGTCGAGTCAGAACATAGTATGCTCGATTAACAAAGTGATCGCTCTTTAAAACAGGTTTATTGCTTTTGCAAAAAAGTCTGGAATGGGTAATGATACAGTTGGAACATTAAAGCATGTAACACACACTTCTAACAAGCATTTGGTAGAATTTTACCAATTGGGTGGCAAGTTTGATGTGTTTTCCATTTATATTTTTCATCTGAGGCTAAGACTAAATATTGATCCCTCTGAGAAGAGCAATGGTTGATGTTTGCCACTGATTTTTTTTTTCTTCGTCTTTTAATGCAAGCTCGCTGACAGCTTCTACAGAAGCATACATCACTGTTTAGCAATCCTGAAACTGTAGGTTTTTCTTGAAAGGTTTATATGTTGTCGTTAAAAATCAATTTCTCAATGGAGAAAATGAATGGGATTTTAACTGCCAGAACGCAACTGTTGTGCTTCGTACATCTGTTTACACTTACCAAGCTCATGGGCAGTAGTGAAGGCAGATGGCAAGCCATCATCCTCAATCACAGAACAGCTTCTCTTGGGATCACACATGGTGCCAACATCTGCCATACCCAGTGTGTCACACGTCGAGGATCCGCACAGGTCCTAGATCAGTAAAACAAACAAATAGTTGTCATCATTGTTGGCAGTACATGGCACGCATTCCCATATGTGACTCTGGTCCACTAAATCAGTCTTATGTTGCACGCATATTTGTTGGAAAAGCTAACAAAACAATGTACACCTAAAATTATTAGAATGTTAAGTAATGATCATGTTTCATGAACACTTTTTGGACATTTCCTTTTATAAATATATCAGATAGGGATGGTTCACTGTTGAACGACTCGTTCATTTTGAACAAATCTTCAGTGTGACTCGGGAACGAGGAGCCCTCTCATTGAGTGATTTGTTCATCCGCCCATGCGCACATTTGTGCAGGTGGTTTCGTTCATTTGAGTCTTCTATGGGCGACGCAGGGGCGCAGTAGGTAGTGCTGTCGCCTCACAGCAAGAAGGTTGCTGGTTTGAGCATCAGCTGGATCAGTTGCCGTTTCTGTGTGGAGTTTGCATGTTCTCCCTGCGTTCGCATGGTTTCCTCCGGGTGCTCCAGTTTCCCCCACAGTCCAAAGAGATGTGGTACAGGTAAATTGGGTTGGCTAAATTGTCCATAGTGTATAAGTGTGAATGAGTGTGTGTGGATGTTTCCCAGAGATAGGTTGCGGCTGGAAGGGCATTCGCTGCGTAAAAACATGCTGGATGAGTTGGCGGTTCATGGCGACCCTGGATTGGGGAAAGGACTAACCCAAAACATAAAAAAATGATGAATGAATTAGTCTTTTATCGAGTTTAAGTCATGAAGACTCCATCAGGTTTGGAGACAGAAGCCAATCACATGCATTTGAAAAGGATTTGATCAAGTTCATCTCTCGAGTCCTCGGTTTGAGTTGTTTTTTCATTATGTGAAAGGCAAAAGCCAATCATATGCATTCAGAGCTGGGAAAAGATTTTCTGTTCATCTCTTGAGTCCTCGGGTTTGAGTCATATCTTTACATGCTGTCATGTGATGAACAAACGACTCAAAAACCTAAAGACTCAAAAGGTAAATTAATTAAGCATCCTTCTGGCTCTGACTGTGACAAAAATACTACCAAACATACTGAGAAAAAATACTACCATAGACAAATGATTCTTTTCTTTTTCTTATTCTAGTTCTGACTTTTGTGTAGTGTGATCAATCTTTGTAGATGTGTTTGGTGGCAACTCGTAACATTTGAATAATATTTTGGCAAACTGAATGAAATGACTTGAAAAAAAAAATTGTTTATCTCGATAAACGGGACTCAAAGGTCTGAGTCAGTAAAATAATTCAAACTTCCCATTACTAGTTTTAAAATATAATTTTTTGATTAGCAATATGGATTGCTAAGAAGTTATTTTGGACGACTTTAAAGGCGGTTATCTTAATATTTAGTTTAGTTTTTTTTTTTTTTACACTTTCAGATTTCCAAGAAGTTGTATTGTGTTAAATACTGTTCCATCAAAACAAAACAAACAATGGAAAGTTTTTGGCATAATTCTCAATATGAATCACATATTTAAGTAAATGTTGGTGTTATTTTTATAAAAACTTTTTTTAAACATTTAGCCTACATTTAATTATTAAAGTTCTATTAAAAGTTCAGGTGAGTTAAAAGTTTAAAATCATTCAAAGTACATATAAATGCAACTTAAAAAAATCATAGCATAGCTAGCATAACGAGCAAAAAGGAAGAAGCAAAAAATTGGAAAAGGCTAGAAGAATGTGCTTTTGACTGACATGGAAATATTTCAGATGCCCAAAATATCTCTAATTTGTGTTGGTGTAAAGTGCAGTATCGCCATCCAGAAGAATTTCCGACTGACCTATATTGTCTTACCACAGTTTAAAGTGGATTTGCTCAAAATATCTGTTGAGCCCGACTGATTCAACATCATAATAGCAGGTTTCTTGGTCAACCTTATCCCACGGTGCAACACCCTATCCCAAGCCCCAAAAAAAGACTAGCACTGACTGCGGTTATAACCTTAACATTAAAAGCAGAGTTTCTGTCTGGCCACAAAACACTTAAAAGGAACAGTAGCTTCACCACAATCGAGAGAGACCACGAACAACTCATTTAATGCTCAAAAACATTTCAGAAACCCCAAAGATCTGACAGCTTTGACCAATTTTTACATTTGATTTGTCTAAGATGAAGTCTTAAGTCTGTTTGACATACACTATTATACATCTTATATACACTGTAAATTTAATAATGATGAAAAGTTGGTCCGAGGCGTGCAAGAAAGGATTGTTTCTTTTCTTCTATTAACATCTTTTACAATCTCCCTCACATTTTTTTTTCTTTTTGGTTTGCTTGACCTAGTTCTCATATCCCCTCTGCATTTTTAATGTGTGAGAATCCAGCTGTTAACTCCCAAGAATCATCATGGGGCTAATCATAAACAAAGTTGAGCTGAATTTTTTTTTTTTTTTGACAATTCCTTCCTCGGTCAAACATGAAAATCAGGTCTAAATGCCTTCCTTGTACACTAAGGCATCTGCCACAAATTTGGGAGTGTATTCTCTTCAGTCACAATGCAGCATAACAAATCATCAGAAAGACAGATAACAAGTTTAAAACTTAACCTTCAATGATGTGTGAAACAAACACCAGTGTGCAAAAATGGCATCCAGCAGAAAAAGCAGTTGAGTGAAATGACTCACTCTGAGACCTGACTACACTCCAAGGATAAAAACACAGCAATGTTGCCTGTTATAACCTATTATTAAATGAAGGCAACATGGCTTCATCCCACGAATGCATGTAACAGGAAAGGTGTGACCTCTTTTTCTAAATTTCGCCAGCCACCACTGCCTCAACACCGGCTGCATTATGCACAAGGGTTTTTAACTTCACATTAGCACTTAACTAGCCACTCTGCTCTAGTTACAAACATACACAAACCATCTGAAAGCAGGCAGTGTGCTGATTGGATTAATAAAGATCTTGAACAGTTTTGTTGTGCAGTTTTGGTAGTTAGGTTATTACTTTGATCATACATAACCAGCGTTATGTGAATAACTTAAAATGTCTATTAATTCTAAATTGATAATTACATTATTAAAATGTCTTTAAAATAATTTTCTAATTACTATGTCTTAAAAATATTTTAATTACTCATTAGGGTAATTTAATTACTTGACCCAGCTATATTTAAAATTCCTATAAATCTTAAAGCATAGACGATAGAAATTGAACTCTTTTAAATCTTTGCATTTTACAGTCAAGCAGGGCCTTTTAGCGGTTGTTGCTACATCAGATATGGTTGCGGACGGAAGTTAATGAGAATTATTTATATTATTCAGTAAATTTCCTATTAATTATGTTTTATTATTGCTACCCCTACCCTAACCCAAAAACCAACCATCACAGTAATGTAAAAACAGTAGTTGTACCGAGTATTATTAATGTTTTTATTAAATTACCCGATAAATTGTATTTTATTAACGCCTACGCCTACGCCCACCCTAACCCTTAACCCAACCATTACAGCACTGTAACAATAAAAATGATTGTTATACAGTGTTACAAAAATGATGCTATATTGATGTGCGTATCCGCAGCTGTATCCTATCTGCACTTTACCCTTTTTAACTTTAAAAAAAAACAGTACTCAAGAAAAATTAAACCTCATCTGTATCAAAACATAAAACAATTGAAAGAAATCACACCATATTTAATACACACCATATTTTCATTGTGCTATATCAAAGACTACACTACAAAGAATACACAAGACATGTCACTTGTAAAGTTTTGAATAGGGAAAACCGTAACGGTCATATGGTGAATTAAGCCCCGCCCACTAGTAAAGGAGCCAATCAGCAATCGATATAGACTAACAGTTCTCTGGGTGAGAGGCTTGGACCAGACATGAGTTTCTGAAGATTTTGTGTGAGTTGAACGTTTCGAAATAAAACTACAGTTGTTTAATTTTCAAGAGTTCACACTTGCTAATGATTGATTATAAAGTGAGTTTGGCATGCTGTCCCGAGAGAAAGCCCTGAGCTCATAAGATCCTTGAGCCCGAGGTTTCCTCCCAGTTGCAGGGCGAGAGGGGAGTTTGAGTTCAGGTATGTAGAGATATACTGCTAGTTAAGAGTTCGACTATAGTGTTAGTTTGAATTGATCAATTCACTTATGACATGTTTTTTGGACTTTGGGAGGAAACCGGAGAACCCGGTGGAAACCCATGCAGGCACGGGAAGAACATGTCAACTCTGCACAGAAACGACAACTGACCTGTTAAGGATTTGGACCTGTGACGTTCTTGCTGTGAGAACAGTGCTAACCACTGGGCCACCGTGCCGCCCTATAGAGGGAAAAGTGGAGGAGTAGGGGTGGAAAGAGCGATTGTTCAAGGCGAAGATAACTGTAGTAAGAACTCTTGTAATTTATAGTTAATTAGGAATCATCTGATTGGTAAATCATACATTAGTTAATGCAGGACCAGCCATGATCAATCATAATCACGTGCACCTCTCGAAATTAGTTTATAAATAAAGTTCACTAATTGGTGAATCCTAATAGGAAATGTAATAATAAGCTTGGCAAGCAATTTTTTTCAGAATTTCATGTTTCTCCATTTAAACAGAATGCCTGAGCGTACAGGACTGCCTGAGAGATGTTTCAAAAAGGACTGCAGAATGAAAGTGACTTGGACTATTGTCAGACAAATGTAACCTTCTATAGATAAAAATCTGAATTACACACAATTACTCCACTTGTCTGAATATATATTAATTTCTTCTTATATTTTGACATCAAAGAAGTCAGGTGACATCAAATCGATTTTCATTTTTAATGAGTTTTTGATGTTGCTTTGACGTCAAAGAGGCCACTGTGAGTGAAGGTATGCAACTGACAAAATGGAAGATGCTGTCTATCTAAATAGAGGTCTGCATTGACAGCCACAGCATCTGATCAGATTTCTTGTGGAGCAGAATTAAATTTTTAAAGAAAATGCGGTAACTCTGGTGTAATTTCAATGCGAGCAGGCGGTCTAACAATATAGCGTTCC